ATTAAAAAAAAATATTATATGATGTAACAAAAAATGTATGCTTTTCGCAATTTTTCCTTTATCTGTGCTATAATACGTTGCTTCGTAACAAATTTTAAGATACTGAGTTACACGGGAAGTACCCTGTAGGTTTTGATTCCCTTCCGAATGTCGAAAATTTGCGGCATAAACGGCTGTATCTTTTAATTGCGTTGGCTAAGAAGTTTGATTTTTTCACAGCTCCAAGGGACAGTAGACTTGAGTATTTGATATGAATTTTAGCTTGATACCTCTACGCGTTCCTGAGAAAAAGGGTCTTGACAGACAGACAGACAGACGGACAACAAAGTGATCCTATAAGGGTTCCGTTTTTTCCTTTTGAGGTACGGAACCCTAAAAATTGGGTGTGCCAACCCACCTGCCAAGCGTGACAACTATGGCAATATTCCCTTTATGAGGTGATCTATGGGGGAGGTCTATATTCTATATTATTTTAATATTTTATATGTTAATGTAATGAAGAAATTAATTAAAAGAGTAGAACCACAGTAAACGAAATAGCCACAATCTGTAAACTGAAGTGGGCAGCCAGGCAATTCAAAGAACTGGCGAACGTTGGGGAAGAAAGATTTTCGAGTGGTAGTGTCGTACTGGTAGACGAAGTAGAGGGCGTCCCGTCTCTAGATAGAGTGACGACCTGGTAAGATATGCAGGAAGTCGATGGATGCAAGTGGCTCATAAACAGCGCTTTGTGGCATTACTTATTTTCACCAGTGCACTTGTGAAGGGCTGTAAAGATGATGATGATGAGATTGTCAAGTGATTTTAATTGAAGTGCTGATTTACCACATGTTCGGAGTAGAAGGAACACGATGTAAGAGAACTATACATATCAGAGGAATATAATATTTCGTAGCATGTCAAGTCCGTAAACACCTACAGAAGCTGTGCGACGGAATAATTGCTGTGTAAATTGTATTGAGAGGCTTGTGCCCAGTTGGGTGGGACGTATTTAGACTGTAACTTTTTTGTACTCGTATATTTGTTACATATGTATACATACGTATAGTTGTATATATGTTACATATACATATATACACGTATACGTATACATCTTTACATAAAATTGAACTGTCTGCCTGTACCTAATATGGAAATGACTGCCTTATATTGGCTGCTGAGAAGGTTATTTGCTTGCCAAAATTTTATCTGTCTCTCCGAGCTAATCTTTGGAATGGCTGAACCGATTGTAATGAAACTTCACGAACAGACAGATACCAAGAGTGATCTAAGCTACATTTTATCCGAAAAATTGAAGATGATTTTGTAAAAACAAATAATAGATAAAATAAATAGTCTTTGATTATATAAAATCTAAATTACGCCACATTAATAGATCCTACCCAGGCGAAGACACAGGGTTGCTAGTATCGAATACAAATGCAATAAACATTATAATGAGAGTCATTTTGCCTAATTTTACATTGTATTTAATATTGTCTACATTTTTATGTAACCGATAACAGGCAGTTTGTCGATGATCAGTGATGCGACGCGTTTCTAGGTCAGAGGCCACGTACGTTAAATTATCGGCCTTCTCGTATATTATGATATTCAACTTGTAAACATCACTACGATTTACCGATATTTGAAATAAAGAAACGACTGGATGTTGTTTAGGTGTCGGATATTTTAGTTAAACAATTTTTTATTTTATAATTTGTAAAAAAGATGAAAGTAACAAACCATACAGCACGTATATGTCCTACTGTTGGGTACATGCCTCCCCCATTTCTGAGAGGAATTTGCAGCAGGGAGGAGTCTACTGCGCTGTCTGATGCGTGTTGGCGAATTTCACAAGTCCACAATTAAAAAAAAATATATTATCACGATTATTTCCTTCACCACCGAGCACGTGGTAAACTTCTTTCTTTATCCTTTCTTTTTTCCTCTAATGATTCAAGGTTTACCAATGTCAAACCCTAAAGAACTCATTTTTACAGAAAAACACTGTGAAAGCTGTTGAAAACAAGGAACGTAAACTGTTTTAGTTGTTACAATGTTGAATTTACGCACAGCACAGCCAAAAAATTTGGGTCAGCAATTTTAAAGAATTTTTGGGAAAAATATTGAATCAAATTAAACACAAAACAACGAATTAAACATTTTCAACGGTGCTATAAAGTACTTTCAGTTGATAACCTATGTGAACATGATAAGCTCGAAAACAATTCAGATTCCCTCTTTAACTATTTACCCTGTATTAGAGAAACCATATTTTATAACAATGACAAATTTCCATTATCCAAGAGTAGCAATCTCAGTGTCGTTTTCATAAATATTCCGTTTATACAATTAAGACTTATAAGCCCGTGCTTCTCTACTATCCCCTCTGGTGGTGAAGCCCTAGAGAATTATCGCAGTCTTAGCGTAACAAAAGCCTAAATTCTGCAGCATTAAGCCTTGTGCTACAAAAAGCCAACTTGACGCTTGGGAATGAAAGAACTCAGTGGAAGAGTGAGCTTAGAGGCTTATTTTATTTTATTAATATTTTATTATTATTTGAACATAGGTACAGAGTAGCCAGTTTTTGTTTTATAGGATAAGGGTGACAAACGAGCACACAGTCCACTTGATGGTGAGTGGTTGCTGTGGCTCATAGACATCTACATATATCTTCGATTACGACTCAAAATGCAGATGCGTTGTCAACCGTGAGGACTAAGATGGAATGCCTCGTTTCCAGTAAAAAGGGTCTCCGGTTCTCTACACTCACTATACGATTGGTATTCGCTGCGACACTATTTTACACTGGCATTCTGTGACAGTGTGGTCCTTCCCCGGTTGAGCCGCTCCATGCGTGCTATAACTATAGTACTAATAGCTGCAGCATAGCTCTACCACGTATAAAAACGACATATATGATACACGAAGAGAATGCGGAAGAATTACACAAATAATTCCTCTCTACCCTTTCCACCATTGTGGACAACCAGACGCCCGGCGGATCACCACTCCGTTTGTTGTCGATATTCCACGTGTTTGAACTACCAAAGAATAGAATAGTTTGCCAACGTCTGTTTTTCCCTTCAATTACAATGCATATGTGTCTTCAAACGCTAGACAGAATGCGCTATATTTACGTTAGGACAGTGTGATTTACCACCCAAGTCACAGATTAAATAATGTTACTACCTAAGTCGATAGACCTTATCTGATGAGGTAGGATTAAAGTCAAGAACTGACTTATAAAGAGTAAAAATACACATTATTTCATATCTAGAGTATTATAAGGTTATATTAAAAACCTGATAAGCAAGTTTCAAACTGATTCATAATTATAATGTGGATCACTCGTTAAATAATTTTAAATAACTGGTATTTGGTCTTTAAGTTCTTTATTATTCAAAGTTTCGATTGTTAATTTTTTTTGCTATGCTACCAGTATATTTATTACGGAAGCAGCTGAAATAAATTCAAGCAATTCCTATGCTTTATTTATAATATATTTATTTATATTTCATTTTAATGAGTTGTCTATCTCGTAATTTATTTCCCATTGATAGAGGTTCCATGTTTTTATTTTTATCTTGTGAAAAAACAAAATCGAACCGAGTTCAAGCGCTAACCGCACCGAGACTTTGCAGAGGAACGATGTTTGTTCTGAAATTCACCCTGCTTTATTGGTTTCGCTCGATAGTTTAAAGAAGTAAGGTAATGTTGGTATAACAATAGGGTCCCAATAGACGTGACAACGCTACTGTGGCCTTTTTTACCTGATGTTGTTTGCAGGTCACAATCGGGTGGAGTAGTCATTTGCGATCAAATGAATATGGATTTTTAACTCTTTAATCTAATAACTCTTTCCACATATTAGCTTTCAAGTCATGGCATTAACACTTCTACACACAGTCTTTTCATACTAATTCATGTTTAGGGTCAATAACAAAGTCTTAGGGGTGGTGATGGGGTGACGGATATTCGCATGTGACTACTGTGGTTACAAATTTAATTTTGTCAACAATATCTTAGCTAGAATCTGAAACGGATATAAATCGTACAATGACCACTTTCAGTTGTTAGGGGTTGAATTTTCTCCGAACCTCAACTATGGGCGGTTCATTGAGTCCAGAGCCAAAGCAGCCGCAAGGAAACTTGGTGTCCTTGCAAGGATGTGGCGGTACTTCACACCGGGGCAGCTTCTTACCTTATATAAAGGGCAAGTCCGGTCGTGCATGGAGTACTGTTGTCACATATCGGCTGGTGCTGCAAAAGGTCACCTGGCAGCGTTGGACTCAGTTCAGAGACGTGCTAAGAGGCTCATTGGTGACCTTGATTTCGTTGAAACCAATCTTGTCAGCCTCGAGCACAGGCGCAGAGTAGCAAGTCTCTCGGTATTCTATAGGATGCATTTCGGTGAGAGTGCGCAGGAATTACAACGCTTTAATTCCTCCTTCTCCTTTCCACCATCGGAAAACCAGGCGGTCGGTGGGTCTTCACCCCTTTGTTGTCGATATTCCACGCATTAGAACCAAATGGTTTACTTCGATTTTTGTAATGCGTACAGCAAAGGAGTATCTTTCTTCAAATCTTTCCGTCCGAATAAAATCTGGGCATCTTCAAGGCAAGAATGATTAGGATTTTGTTACGCTAAGACATTGCGATTCACCATCTAGGGTTGCATCACCACTTACCATCCGGTGGGATTGTAGTCAAGCACTGGCATATAATAAGTAAAAAAAAATGTGCCATAGAAAAGTGTTTAAGCGGGCTGGAGTGTCTAAGCATAGCTATATTGTTTGTGTTTTCGTGTATTGAAAGGTCATAATTAAAAGATCGAATAAAATCGATCGATACATCGTAATTTGTTAATTTCTCTTAAATCATAATTGTATTAGTAAAATATCTTTCCTAAATATCCTATAATATCCTATCAATCTTTATATTATATTCATCTGTATGTATTGTTGTTTATTATAGCTAGCTAGTTGTAAATAAAATTTTCTGGTATTTCAACTTACCTTTAATATAAGCACAACTCTATTGAGCCTTTTCAATATTTCCATGGTGTGTCCTTCATCTAATCCTTCCACGTCTAGTAGCGATCGCACAGAGTCTACTTCGAAGATGATCTGCTTAAACCAAAGCTCGTACGCTAAAAAAATGTGTGAGTTTCATAAAGAACAGGCCTTCTTAAATGATGCTACGTTATGTGATACGAGTGATAAACTACCATTCAATTGATGGTACGTAACTACGTACCATCAATTGAATGGTAGTTTATCACTTAACTGCAGAAAGACTTTAGCACGTAAGCAACTACTTTCGTGCTAAAGTCATTCTGCAGTTATATTATGGTTGTAGCACGCATGGGTCGGCTCGACCGGGAAGGACCGCGCTAGCACGGAATAAATACCAAATTGAAATAGTAGCTTAATGCTGCTGTGTTTCAAATGGTGAGTGTAGTAGTATAGACCGGACTGGATCCTATATACATTAGGATTAACAACTATCTTCGATTAAAAATCATAATGTATTGCCACCCCACTAATTTTTTTTAAATTTCCAATATTCTTTCTACTGGTAACGTGACAGAAATTTACCACGTTACTAGTAGAAATAATCTCCGGTTCTCATCACTTCTACTATACAAAACACAGTGACATAAAGCTACAATTTATACTAGTATTCTCTTAAACGGAGCCGTGGTAGCTCAGATGGTTAGCGCTCGCTGTAAATTTCACAGTACGCGAGCAACCCGGGTTCGGTCCCCGCCGGCGCCAATGGAGTCGTTAATTGCAATTATAAGTGCTGATTTACCACGTGCTCGGCGGTAAGGAAAATATCGTGAGGAAACCTGCTTGTTTGAGAAATAAGAAAAAAAAAATCGAAGAGATGTGAAGTTCGCCAACACGCATTGGGGTAGCGCAGCGGACATTTCCTTGCCCTAAAACCTCTCAGAAATGAGGGAAGACCTGTGCTTAGCAGTGGGACGTACGTAAATAGGCTGTAACTTTTATTCTTTTATTAAATCATAAAAATAATGCAGCTTGGCTTTGCTACGCTTGTGTGCTTTAAAATACAGTTGGTGGAATTTTGATTTTTCCAAGTACAATCAAGTATAGAATTGATAATTTTATTTAAAATGTTTTTGTATTTTTAGCAGTGAAAGATTAAGAATCGGGTACAAGTTTTATTATATGTTTATATGTTTGACAAATTTATATTTTGAGAGTTGATCTACCAAGCGGTCGACAGTACAGAAAAACATTCAGAGGAAACCGATGGGTCAGAGAAAGTAAAATATATTGAGGGCACGTGAAATCTATCGACTGCACTGGAGCAGATCAGTGAATTCTGTTTTGGTAATGCATACCATAAGAGAGAGTCACAGCACTGAACAACTTAGGAAAGTTCTCATTATTTCCCAACCCATTTTTTATAGAATGGAACGAGCACATAGTCAAAGCGTTGTCACCCCTAAGGACTACGATAGATTGGCTCGTTTCCAGTAAAAAGGGTCTCCGGTTCTCTACACTCACCATACGAAACACAGTAGCATTAAGCTGCTATTTTACGTTGGTATTCTGTGAGAGCGTGGTCCTTCCTTAGAGCCGACCCATTCGTGCTACAACCATAATATAACTCCAGCTTGGCTCTACCACGTAAAATATCTTTAACCTTATATAGTGTCTTTAATAATAAGCAATAATATTTTATAATATTATACATATAGTATTTTGATGTTGTGATAGATAATTTTGAATGATGACGGAAAGTAGAAGCAGTATAACTCTATCTCGGTCACACCAAACGAAAATATCCAGACCGGTAACAGGTAACAGCGACCAAAGCGAGACTACAACTCTGGTTAAGAAGAATATTTTAATATTTTTTTTTACATATCACCAGTGCTTGACTACAATCCCACCTGATGGTATGTGGTATATTTGATGATCCTGAATCAATGTTCTTGGGATTAAAAAATCATCAAAGTGTAATGTATAAATTAAAGTTTGTTTAACAAGTGACATTTATTAAAATAAAAAAAATACCACATATTTTTTATCATATTCTTGTATAGTAGTAGAATTTGAGCTATATTGAAAATTTTAAGATTGCAACGCCTCGGTTTATAATCAATTACTAAATTCCACCCGGAACGACAGACAAACATGAAAGTGACATAATAAAAAACGTGGTAAAACACAATTGTACTAAATTAACTATAGTACGTGAGGGTAATATGGTCATCCGGTTAATATAGTCACTTTCTTATAACTCAAAAACTACAGCCTTGTTTGCATAGATTGCTCTCTGATACGATAGCTCTTCAGCAGTCATTCAAATAATAAACGGTCAAAAGGACGCTGCTATATCGACGCCATTTTGACAGTTGATATTATAGTAAACAATTTTAGTTGATTTTACTACTGTGTGGTGCCGTTAGTTTTTTTAAGTTGATTTTTCGAAATGTTTCTAATTATTTCCAAAGCTTGTTTGCAATTTTTTTTTATATATTAGTTATAGTTTTATCGGGCGGCATAGCTTAAGGTGACCATATTACCCTCACGTACCTTATAAAGACGTATGTAAGATTACCTTGGTGGGTAACAATAAATAAATGTTCGTCGTGGACAGGTTTTGATGATTCGGCGCTGAGCATGCGCTGAGAAGTGAGAAGCTTGTCCAGCATCAGATATTCACCGTATAGCATTCCGGATTCATTGCCTAGATGGCTACCGTCTTGTGCGGCGGAGTCGTCCATCACCGACCTGAAAAAAATAGAACAAGTTAAATCAGGATACTTGTTATTATTTCTGAAAAAAGGAGATGGCAGCAGCGTCTTCCTAATAACGACTAAAATAAAAAAACTGCGATTGGCATCCCCCTCGCCAAGCGTGGCAACTATGGAAAATATCCCCCCATAAGGCAATCTACAGGATGAAACCTATGTCCAGCAGTGGACTTGTGATAGGCTGCAGTGATAGTTATAGTGATAGTAAAAATTCTGGGATTTTTCATTCAATCATATTCTAAAGTGACAAATGAGATCTCAGTCCACCTTATGGTAAGCCCAGATAATCTACATCTAATATAAGAATAAAATATGAATATAAGAATCAAAATGTCAAAGTGCGGTCGTGAACCACCTGCATCTGTCGCCTTCCTGCATGTTTCATCAGGTTGTCAATTCATCTAGTAAATTTTATGCTAGTGATATACAAAAGTTGGAAAACAACATAATTTTTTCTTTTGTATCTAAACACACGGCATTGTATCAGCCAAGTTCAGAAAAAAAATGTCGACGCACCAACATTGTGTACCTACAAACACGATGTAGGTACATGAACCATTTCGAGCTACTTTCAACCCTCTCATAAGTCAAAAAACTTCTTTGGTATGAAGGCACCTAGTCGAATACAAAGGAAAAAATTAACAAACTAAAAATTATCGTTCTGTTCCATATTAAAAAGTGTTGTCAACAATTTTGGTGCGGTTAGTTTAACCGCACTAATAACTTTGTACACATTAAAAATAGGAAATAGTAAAACGTAAACGCAAAGATTCATTTCTTTGAAATAAAAAGGTAACACTTGAATTTTCCCCTGTATCGTGGGTTCGTGAGGACATGCAAAGTTACAATTATTTGTAGGTGTACTCATTGCTAAGCCACTGCACCACAGAACCATCATAAACACAAACAAAACTGTTGAATACATTTATATTAACAAAAGAATAAAATTTTTGTCAAAAATTAATGATATCCCACTAAAAAATAATTGTGAAAAGGGGACAGGAAAAACCAACCATAGGATCACAACCCTGGAGGTTGTGATCCTATGGTTTTTAAGTTTTTGGTGGGATTGACATCTTTTGTCGCTCTTAAGTTTAAAGTACTATGTATATACTGTAAACGGTGTTAGTGATATTTTTCTGCCGACTTCCAAAAAGGAGCCGGTACTCAATTCGACTGTATGTTTTTTTTTTTCGTTTTTTTTTTTTATGTGTGTTACCTCAGAACTTTTTTCTGGGTGAACCGATTTCGATGATTCTTTTTTTATTTGAAAGCTGGTACTTCTCGTGTGGTCCCATATGAATTTGATCAAGGTCAGACCAATAGTTTTTAAGTTATTCTTAAATAACTTATATTGAAGTCGGCTGTACAAAATTTTTAATTTTAAATTATTGGAATATTCTTTCCAGGCACTTTGTTCCACTTTTATTACGCGACTTCGCCCGCGCGTAATTTTATTACCATTGGATTTCATGGGTTTTAATTTTTTGCGTGGAAAACTAATTCTTTTTCTAAAATAAAAGTAGCCTAAGTTACTTATTATAACATCAGCTATCTGCCAGTGAAAGTCCGGTCAAAATCGGTCCAGCCGTTTCGGAGATTAGCCGGTACAAACAGACAGACACAAAAATTTTAAGCATTGTTTTTTGTTATTAGTACCCTATAAACTTTCATATGCGTTTCATAAAAGGCTGTTATTTTAACATTACTAACATTATTATTTGAAAGAAGCGAAAGAGATATGCAAGGATCGTGACACTTGGCGATCTGTTCTCTCTGGCTACCCCGTCAGGGATTGTGCGTGAAGATAAGTAAGTAAGTAAGTATTTTAACATTACAAACAGACACTTCAATTTTATTTATTTGTATAGATAAGGATTTAATGCCAAGGTACGAATAATGTCGCCTAGTTTGTACCGGCGCGGCGTTATAAAAAAGTAGTTAATGTGACATAACTGTAGTAGTTAGACATACGGTATCGCGGACTTTTTTGTAGACATAGATTTCCTCAATAAAACTGTAGCACATCACTTTTCTCTATTGTCAATAGTTTCCACAGCGTATACGATATAAAGATTTTTCGGCGTTACTATTACATATTTTAACACGGAAAAGTAGTTATTGTGACATAACTGTAATAGTTAGACATACGGTATTGTGGACTTTTTTGTAGATATTTATGTCCTCTATAAAACTGTTTAACGTCACTTTGCTCTATAGTTTCAAAATTTTAAAAATCGTGTTATTTTTATAAGTACCGTATATACTTTCATATGCATGTCGTAAAAAGCTGTTATTTCGACACTACAAATAGACACTTCAATTTTATTTATTTGTATAGATTGAAGATCGCCTGGCTTAGTGACCTTGTCACTACGCATATTATAATCATATATATGTAATAGTAGCGATAACCAATGTGTTTTTCTTGATTATGCTTTAAAAATAATAGTGGACAAATATTTTCATACGTAATCTGTGACTGTGACCCTGTGTAAAAAAGTCAGCCAAATTCAATATATCAAAACAAAAGAACCTCTTTAGAAATTGCGTATGGTGCAATAAAGTTGCAGAATAAAATATAGTTCCAGTTCAAGTATGTACGTAGTACTATTATTTACTCTGTGGTTTAAGCACCAAGTTTTCAAGAAGAATTCAACGTCTGATGTTCTGACATGCATGCACTCTGAGAATCCGTCTCTTTGTAAACTTCATAAACGGGAACTAGTTATTAATGCTTACCTAAGGAGAACTCTAATTTTACGTTTGGATTTCGTTCAAAAAAACAGTGTGTCTGTTTTTATTTTTTACACTAGTACAATTGTTTGCAGCATAGCCAGCATAATGGCACACATAATGAAAACTGTTTAGATGTGTGTAAATGCAAAAATTAAGGCCCTTTTAAAGGGTAAGGTGTCTATGGACTTCAATGTGCATACTTGTTTGAAACTTATAATTCTTTTTTTTGTATTTATTTTAATTAAAATCGTGATCTTAAAGAGACGTAAGCGTACCTATTTAATATCCTCCATGAAACATTAGTGCGATACTATAGAATATGGGTTTTATTTCAGAGCATAAAGCTCGCTTTTCACTACTTATGGGATATAATATAATATATATTACATCTCGAGATATAAATTAATATCGCTCACCATACATTTCATATGAAACCCTTTACACTGAGCTATAATATATATTACATCTCAAGCTATAAATATATTTTCGATCGACCGAGCGATATTTTCAAATTATATTTCGCCCCCTGTACCCCCTGTACACCGTTCTGCGGGGTGGTTAAAAGATATATATCCCAATCGCCGGATATAATTTATATTTCGGGATATAATATTTATAATATACCATAGTGAAAAGCCAGCCTGAGTCTGTCTTCCCGTGACTTAGGTACGATCTGCAATTGAGTTATCCAGACATTTATATGGGGGATTTGAACTCAGCCTCTCATCAGCAGGCTTTTATCTACTTTCATTTGCTATCATTTCATTTCATTTCGTTCCTGAGGTTTAAAAATTTGAAATTATATCGATGTATTATATTATGAAGGTGTCCAGTGATGGCCGCATTAGAGAATCTATCACCATTTCGTTCCGCAGATACTGGAAGGGCCCACATAGGACAGTTATAGCCTTCGTTAGACGGCGGTAGATAAATTTTCATTCAGCTCAAATATACAGATCACAAACATTTTAGCTATATGATTTTCTTTCCATCGTATTCTGTCATATATCGCTAGTTGTTGTTTAACTATTGTGCTTAAGTTTATAAGATTAATATTGAGTTACTGCGTTGTTAATTTGTTGTCACTTATAAAAAATTGTGACCTTATTAATGGCGCCGCAAACCAGTATCTAAATAAAATAAAAGAGAAATAAAAAAATATTAGGTAAAATACTGTTTCAACCGTACAAACTACGTAAACAAAGTGCGTAAACGACGCTGACGCTTACAACGGACACAAACTGCACGTTCCTAAACTACGAGTATTTAGTAATCTGTGGCTGTACTATCAATTGAGCTGTGAGCCAGTGCGCAGCTCCGGCTCAAATAATTGAACCGTGAACAGAAATGCAGCCCAAGTATATTCATTCACTGATTGAATTAATCTAAATTCTTGATTGAATTAATTAAATGAAATTACGATTGTAATGTAGCGCGACGCCACGGATCGCGGATACCCATGGCCGCACGAAACATGCACACATGAACGGGTCCGTCAGTTTTTGTTCATGTGTAAATATATTTAAAAAAAATGTTTACTTTAATTTTAATCACACTAATTATGTTTGTGAAGATAAAATACTGAATGACACATCAGAGGCCTTTTTGTGTTTGAAACAATCGAACGGATAAATTAAATTATACGAGTACTATCTCATAAGGTTGTCAATTTGCGAATACATGAATCAATCAATTTAAAAACCAATGGAGCGTATATAATTACCTATTAAGATATGCTTTATACTTAATACAGAAACAGAAATGTTTTCATAGTAAATTTAATTTTAAGATACAAAAACATATCTCTCCTATGGCCTCCCTATGGTTAACTGCTCGTAGGGCCTCCCTCACGGAATACTAGTCTATAATAGCAGCTTATTGCTGCTGTGATTCGTATGTGAGCGTCGAGAACCGAGAGTTAGATGAAAATAGATGTAGTTGTTTATGGGCCACAGCATCCATTTATTAGCAAGTTAACTGCGTGTTGACCTTGTCAGTGTCATTCTTACTTCTAAATAAACACACCATCCACTGTTTACTATAAAATTATTGAACTAATCGATGATCTTTAGCAAGTAAACGTCTCTGCAAATATTATTAACGCTTATTTTTTTAACGCAATTTTAATTAAATAAAATAAAAGAACTTTTAATGAAATACCTAATGCCCTGAAAAATTTCAAAGTATACTGTCTGTAATATCGGAATAACTGACTTTTATTTAGGTAAGGAGTTATTTGCATAGTATAATTTAATTTAATTTGTTTATTACAAAGATTAGCTTCATTCATTCATTCATTATTGAATAATATATTATACTTAGCGTATAAATAAGTGCTTATGTATACTTTAAGATATTATGTCACAATTAGGTATGTTTTAGGCGTATCGTATGTTGTTATGTTATATTTTAGCAATAAATTCGAAAAACGATCTAGTATTCTTCGGAATCTGAATTTGTTTGTGTTATGATTTTTTGTGACATTAATCACTTCCCAATATTGTTAGATATGAACAGTTATTCTTGCAATCCGAGTATTTATTGCCCTAATTAAGAAACAGGACCCTAGGTCCTTCGAAATGCTTGGAATTCACGAATCCAAATGCTAACGATAAAACTTAACTTAGATCATATATCTATAACTTAGATAATATATTTGTCACAGTTAATGGTAAAATAAGGTTTTTGATAAAAACCTAAACTTGTTTAGGTTTATGATAAAACTAGCAGTGCCCCGTTGTTTCACACGCATCTGAGCCGCGCGACATGACACCTCGCAAATAGAGACATGTACAGTTGGTTTCTCGGTTCTCATCAGGCGGCTAAGGTTTATGCGTCGTCCGCGCGGCAAACCGAGTGTTGAATTATTTTAATTTTTTATTATCTCTTAAACCATGCGTACCACCGCATCGCGTCAAATGACATGCTAGAAAGAGCAAAGTTTATCTTCATAAAATTGTAACTTTCATTCGTAAGGATCAATATGCCATACCTAATAATACTTATACTAATAATAACAAACACTAATCATTACGCCAGCGTACGTGGGTAAAGCATTTTAGGAGCGCTTTTTCTTCTGACTTGCTTAACAAAAATCAGTATTTTACTCATGGATCTGGCTATACCTAACATACAAAAAAGAACTTTTCAATCGGACTAGTAGTTTCCGAGATAAGCGTGTATAAACAAGCAAAAAAAACTCTTCCGCTTTAACTTTATTATCTTCTTTATATATAAAAATTACGTGTCACGTTGTTTGTCCGCGATGAACTCCTAAACTACTGAACTGATTTCAATGAAATTTTGCACACTGTGTGCAGTTTCGTCCAACTTGAGAGATAGGATAGCTTTTATCCCACTAAATGACCCTCAAAATTTTTTATTGCGAATTTAAGGATTTTTATAAAAAGGGTCGTCAAAAAAGGCAGAACAACGTCTGCCTGGCGAGCTAGTCTTTATATATAAAAATTACGTGTCACGTTGTTTGTCCGCAATGAAATCCTAAACTACTGAACTAATTTCAATAAAATTTTGCACACTGTGTGCAGTTTGGTCCAACTTGAGAGATAGGATAGTTTTTATCCATATAAGTGACACTGAATTTAAGAATTTTTTACATGAAGAGTCGTCGAAAAAAGCAGAAAAACATCTGCTTGGTCAGCTAATATTGGTATAGATTTAAACTTGGGTTAGGTTAGGTTATCTACTTGTTTTATTTATTTAAAGAAATAGCAACTGACATTAATTTTATCATAATACTTAATCAGTCTAGTGTTTGGTGTAAGGTTTTCTCAGATTTATGATAACATAAAGAAGTAATTTTGTCTTCTTCTGGTTCTTGATTATAATAAAAATATATTTTTGATGAAAAACTAAATCTAAGTTGAGCAATGGCACGTTGTATAACAATGTTGTATATCAAATAGGATTAAATCAATTTTATTCTCCCGATTAAATTAAATACTTGTCTCAAATATAATTTATTTTCGTAATTAGTTGAATAGTTTATGTATTTTTCTCAGTCTGCTTACTCTATGTAATTTAAAATTATATTTACTCACCCTTATAATTTAAACAAAAAAAATCTGTTTAAGTAGGTTAAATTTTGTACTTATCAATATTTTAATAATATATTATTAATTTTTAAATAAAATAATAATTTTATGAAACTTTTATTAAGTACAATTTTTTTAAACCTTTCTTTGATTTAACAGATAGCTAACGGCCTAGGTAATGTAACATGCAAACATGGTACTTATAAGTAACAGCTATAATATTAGTGTAATGACTGATGCAATGAAAGTGGCTACTAGATTTTCATGAGCAGGTTAGTTTCCGGGCTAAAGATTTTCTTTCATTTTACAAAATTTGTTAATGTAGTTAGTTTGTTTTCATCAATCACCATTATTAATGTCGATTAGTCCTTATGCATGAATTATATTTTCTCTATGTCTTATAATTTATATTTTATTCATAGTGTCCTATCTCAATGAACTATCCTTTTAGTGAATTAAAAATCTTCTTACCTCATAGGACAGGCCATTTTAAACCACAAAAATTTAAAACTATTAGATTCTAAAGTCAAACAAACACACGCGAAACAGATGACAGCGCTAAGTGTGCGCGCTTTCTTGGCGCGCGGGCAATTGATACTGACACGGATTCGATTTCATCATTCGCCCCTTGATTATTTGTAACTTGAAACTGCGCTTCTGTTTCTGACCAAACACTACTGGATGAGCCAAGTTTAATGTAAGCAAAATGTATTTATTTCATTGACAACATTTGTGTATCAATTTTTTTATTTTTTATTTTTACTCATTAGGTGAAGCTATAGTAAAGGCTAGGCGTACGCTGTAAATATCACAGAAGTGGACATTAGTCTTAAATTTTTCTATAACCTTCTCCGAAATGGGAATTTAGTTTTGTTTACTTAAATTTATTTTTATTTCTAAATGAATCGAATTGTTGAAATGTTGGTATTTTACCCATTTCCCGTGGGTTAAATGAACATTTCGATTGTTTAAGTAGGTATTATGTTTGTTATGCGGTCAGGGAAACGATTAGAGTATATTTTTAAATTATGAACTCAGATCTAGGTCTCAGTATTATTACTTGTCTTTATTAGAATTATTCTACTATTGGTCTGAGCTTATTAACGTGTACAAAGCTAATATCAAAATAATTTTATTATTTATTTAAGTGATAATAAAATAAAACCGGCCAAGTGCGAGTCGGATTCGCGCATGAAGTGTTCCGTACCATCACACTCGTTACTAGTAGGGGAGCTCCCTATAATTTTTAATTAACTTTAATTTTTATTGTTTGTTGTTATAGCGGCAACAGAAATACACATTCTGTGAAAAATTCAACTGTCTACCTGTAACGGATGGACGGATAGACGGACGGACGGACAGCGGAGGCTTAGTAATAGGGAGTTAAATCCAGTGATACGTACTCCAACTATCAGAATGTTGTAAAATTTAATATGTCTACGGAAGGAATTAAGTTATAGGCCTGAGGAATTAAGGTTATAAAATAAATTTTTCAGCCTCAGAACAATAAGGAAGTACCTATTCGTATTAATGAATCATCTTAATATTGGAATGGTCCGTCTACTTCTTTATCAGTCTGAGATTGCGGGAAAACAAAACTTTCAGTTCAGTTCAGTTCTTCCCTAGCCCAATTAAACAAACCTATGTCTATTATTTATTCTGTGCCTATGTGTCCTTGTCACAAAATGTAGGTACACTCGAGATTTAATATTCTGAAGAATAATAATAATTAAAGGTTATTGACACACAGGCAACAGAATGGATAGATGAAAAAAGTTATTTTGTGTCTCAACTGGTCGGGTATGAAAAACATTCCATTCGCGCCAAAACGGGCGCGCACTTAACCATGTGTGTTAACCAGGGCTGTCAGATCGTATAATATTATGATATAAAATATGTGTAAATAATAAATACATAGAATATAAAAATATTTGAAGTCAATTCATTCGTTTTATTCTTTCACACGACGAGCACACAGTCCACCTGATGGTAAGTGGTTGCTGTGACCCATAGACATCTACATATATCCTCAATAAAGAATCAAAATGCAGATGCGTTGTCACCCGTGACGACTAAGATGAAGACTGACAAAAAGTTAATTGAATGGCACAACCCGGTTAAGAATCATCCCTACATACATAAAAATATTCCGACGAAATGAAAACCTCCTACTTTTCGCTTAAAAATGATAAACAAAATACAAAAAGAATTCGTATGCTTTTAAGGATCCGGAGGCAGCCCTTGTGTTAAAGCTGTATGTAGATACATAACAAAAACCGGTCAAGTGTGAGTGAAACTTGCCCAAGATTGTAGTCGTCGTAATAAGGTATTTTAATTAGTTTATAGAATTCAAGGCCACAGAGTACTTTGTATATACCCGAAATTCATGACTCACGCGGCTTTATATTAAGAATTTTTAAGAAATATTTTTTTTAATAGGATAAAGGTGACAAACGACCACACAGTCCACCTGATTGGAAGTGGTTGCTGTGAATCATAGACATCTACAACTATCCTCGATTACGAATCACAATGCAGATGTGTTGTCACCCGTGAGGACTAAGATGAAATGCTTCGTTTCCAGTAAAAAGGGTCTCCGGTTCTCTACACTCACCATACGCAACACAGCATCATTAAGCTGCTACTTTACGCTGGTATTCAGTGAGAGCGTGGTTCTTCTCCGGTCGACCCGACCAATTCGTGATACAACTATACCAGTAATATAACTGCAGCATGCAGCAATCCTACGGGCTCTTCCGTAGGATTTCCGTTATCTGCGCGGTCTAGAGTCTAAAATACAGATGAAATCTTTAAAACTTTTGTCACTGCATTTTAAGACCATCTTAAGAGTTAGAAGCAAATAATGATTTAGCTTTTAAAGAAGTATTAGTAATTCGAATTCAAATCCCCGAAATATCTTGAGCCACACTGTGTATAAAAAAAACCTATACTAACCGATATTTAATTTCTAAACTTTAATCTAAATATATTCAAATTTTTTAATTCATACTAACAGATATTTTAATATAGAAAAATAATTATGTATCCATCTAATTTGCATATGTATTTTTCAGTGTTTATTAAGATCTAGATTTTAAACGGTGAATGTCACCACCATCCTTAACAGTTTACTATAGGACTTGTGAAGGCCTATAATGATGATGATGATGAAAGCAATAAAAATCGTTATATTTAGTAGCTATTTTTCAGTGTCCTAAAATGCCCCCCCCCCCCCCCCCAAAACTGCCGTTCAGGACCATGGCCCTCCTGTCCTACGTCTCATACTACGCCACTGTGCCGAACGTAAAAAATTCAGACCAGCCTACGTCAAGTCGAAATGAGAGTGCAGGTGCAGTTATCGCACAGTCAGCCAAGTGGAATGAAATAATTTGCTGCGCATTTTTAATTTACAACATGTAAAATATTTGAGGTAGTAATATGGAAAACAGTGTTTGTTTCATTTGTTACTTATACGAGTAGCTGTGGCCGTGTTATGTACGGTTCGAATATTAAGTACCTCACTCGCATATTTTTTTTGTTTCATCTTCATTATACATATGTCCTCGCGACTTCACTCGCGTGATTTATTACGGTTGGATGTCATGGGCTTAAATTTTTTGAGGTAAGAACGAAGCTCCAAGAAGTTCGAGAGATTACAGTAAGCACAAAAACTGTGAGAAAAACACTGTAAATGGCCGAAATACATTCACAGATTTGCCTTCAAGAAGCTTAAGAAGACATGCTGTCGAGTAGCTCGAGTTAATTTTGGTTCCAATAACGTAAATTGGAATGACGAAGCTTGGAGTCAAGTGCTATTAACATCTGAGTTCAGATTTAGTCTGAAGTCAGATGATGGAAGGATTAAATAGTGGAGACAACCGGGCAAGAGGTACGCTCAGTGCAACATCATTGGAAAAGAACTATAACTGACCCAGTTATGGTATGGGAAGGTATATTTACGGGGACATTTTCGGAATTCCGCGTGATTGAGAATGTGAAGAAATTGTAGTGCCATTTGCCTCCTTTAATTTTGATAATGCACGCCCCATACTGCGGCCATAGTTGTTGAATACTTTCGATATGTTGAAATCAATGCTATAAGGTGGTCAACGCGCTCACCCGACTTAAACACAGTAGAGCATGTATGGGATAATCTTGGAAAATAAGTTAAGAAAAAAAATCTTGCCGCCGCTAATTTGAGAGATCTTAAAAATGCATTACAGGAAGAATGAAACGCAATCTCTCAAGATTTTATTGATAACTTGAAGAGGATTATGCCAAGTAAACTGGAAGCAGTTCCAATAGGTAGAGGAAGCAACACTAAGTGTTGATATAAATCACGGCTATAACATTGGCTATTAGCCCACGTAATATACTTTCCCTAAGCATTAATGAATAAAAATGTTAAGTACAAAAATGTTTCTTTCTTGTAATTTTTTTATTTTATCTTAATTAGGTACCTAGGTCAATTTTTGTCATTTGATTGTTTGTTTTTTCGACATTTGCAATTTTAAATTAACGAATAGTAAGAAAAATCCAAATTAATAAACATAATTGTCACAAATATTCATGATATTTTACAAACTTTTTTTGCATTTCTCTAACTTTTTTTAAAGGATAGGGTGACAAACTAGCACACAGTCCACCTGATGGTAAGTGGTTGCTGTGACCCATAGACATCTACATTTATCCTCGTTTGCGAATCAAAATGCAGATGCGTTGTCATCCGTGAGGTCTAAGATGGAATGCCTCTTTTCCAGTAAATAGGGTCTCCGGTTCTCTACACTCAACATACTCACCGAAACACAGCAGTGTTAAGCTGCTATTTTACGCTGGTATTCTGTGAGAGCTATTTAGAGAGAGAGATTCAACTATACTACTAATATAGCTGCATCATGGCCCTACCACGTACAAAATTTTGTCCAGGAGTTTAAATTAACACTTGATAATATAAACACACCAATTATTTGTCAAACAATGGCGTGACATGGGACGCTACCGCCCGGAGTCGCTAGAGCCATAACTGCCGGCCCTACCGCAATTTCGACTTATTTGAAAAAAAATTAAAATTGTTAAAAATCTTCTATAGTGTATGTCATCATCATCATCATCATTACAGCCCTTCACAAGTCCACTGCTGAACATAGGCCTCCCCCAAAGAATGCCACAAAACACGGTCCTGAGCCACCTGCATCCATCGACTTCCTGCATGTCTTACCAGGTCGTCACTCCATCTCGTGGGGGGACGCCCTACACTTCGCCTACCGGTACGAGGCCGCCACTCGAGAACCTTTCTTCCCCATCGGTTGTCGGTTCTTCGAGCTATATGGCCGGCCCACTGCCACTTCAGCTTACTAATCCGTTGGGCTATGTCGGTTACTCTGGTTCTACTGCGGATATCCTCATTCCTAAGTTTATCACGCAGAGAAACTCCGAGCATAGCCCTCTCCATAGCTCGCTGAGCGACCTTGAGCTTTCTCATCCGGCC